CCTTAGCCGCCGCCGTCACCGGCGATCCTCCGGTCGCGTCGCGCCGCCGCTAGCGCCGTCGCCGTTGCCGTCCGTCGCTGCCGTCGGGTGCGCACAGAGGAGTACCTCGGCCGCCCCTTCGCCGTTGTCGCAAGCCACTGGAGCGCCGCCGCCGCCGCCGACCCGAGCCGAGCCGCCGTTGGACCTCGTCGCCGGCCGTCGTTCGTCGTCGTCCGTCATAGTTTCTTGCACCGGTGAGTTCGCGTCGTTGTCCTCTACGCGTAGGTGTCCTCGGATAGCTCAACCGAGCTCTCTAGTGCCGGTGGTCGCGTGGAGCCGTGCCATGGCCGGCGATGGCGTCAGCGATGACGTCATAAATCCCTTTTTCTTAGTTTCTTTATTAGCTGAAAATCGATTAAACTTCGGAAATTCATAACTAAATCATCGTAACTCCGATTCGAGTGGTTCAAGTTGCTAAATTCATCTAAAATTGAGATCTACATGTTAAAAATATCCACATGTACTGTTATGCTTGTTTTTGTACTGTTTTGTTGATTTTGTTCTTTTGCTTTAGTTTCCGACGTTCCGGAGGAGAGCGTTTACATTTAGGAAGGTTCTGAAGCGTTTGAGGAAACTCAAGGCAAGTCACACAGATCCCAAACAACCCTTTGAGCATGTTGAACCCGTTTAAAGCTAATGTTTTATTTCAAATTATGCATTATTTTTTAATGTCATCGGGTGGTGAGCCTTTCCCAATTAATTAATGGCCGAAGATGACTTTATTTTTCCTATGGGTTATAATTTGATTAGCTAGAACCTTATATATTGGTTTGGTTCAGCTAAATGTTATATGTATAATTGCTTAGCCATGCTTAGAAACATTAGCTCACTAATGGGATGAATCATACTACATTATTAATTATGGTTATATTTAATGGTAGCTCACGATGGTTAATCGTGTTATGATAATTAATTGATAATTAAAACCTGATTAAAGGTGGGTTGTGAGCATATGGTTTTGATGGTTGTGCTCATGACAATTAAGGACCGGTTCGCGAGCTACTGTTGTGAAACATTAACCGTGCCAACCACAAGCCAGCATGGGCAATAGCTTTACCTTTTGTATAGCATGATTCATTACGGGGTGCCAGACTGTGAAGCGGCGCGAAGTCCGTGGGGGTCGCTGGGGAGTCCATTGCCTCTGGTTTTGAGGGGGAGATTATGATCCAAGAACGGTGCACTGTGGTGAGTTGTGTTGTGTGAGAGGTATTGTCAGAATTCCTTTCCAAGGTATCGTGGTGGTACTGAGGCGCATGGTGACATGTTGTGGAGTTGTGTCTTGTGGGTACAGTGGCACATCTCTGGCCAGAGTAAAACTATTCGAATAGCCATGCCCGCGGTTATGGGTGAGTTTAACAATGTTTTTCGTGATTAGTCTCACACTACTCATTAATGGTAATACTGTGATAATTAATTTGACTCCTAGTTTGGAATGGTAAATTCCTGGTATGGAGGTTTGATTTGTACAACCGGGGTTGGTTGTTCAGATGAGGTTGGGCCTATGTGACACGGGTGTGTTGTATAGTGTTTATTTAATACTGATTAATTATTCAATTGTTTTATTATTCTCTAAAATGTTTATTAAATGTTGTTTATGCAAATGAGCTTTACTATGCCATCCTTTGTTATCCTGTGCACTTGCATATTTGCTGTGTGGCTTGTTGAGTATGTCATATGCTCATTCTTGCAATATTCATTCATCAGAGGAGGAGTATTTCAGTGAAGGTGATGATCTGGAGGATTAGGCTTTGTTCGGGTCAAGTTGCTTGTGGAGTGGAGTCGCCATAACTGTTCCGTTTTTGTTTTTTTTCCGCTGCGTAGAATTTTATTCTTTTGAGAGGAACTATCCACCTCTGTAATAATTTATTATTTTGCGAATATTAAACAGCTGTTTAATAGTACTCTATTATCAATTTGTTATTGTGTGCCTCGGCTGATTCCTGGACGAGGATTTAACACACATGTAAGCGTTTGGAATTTTAGATAGAAATTCCAGGCGTGACACTTGGATGGCTGGTCTCTGCTCGGAGAGCTTCTTCTACGGAGGGACAACACGAGGTTTGACACTCCGGAAGATAGATTTGAGATTCTCGCTGGAGTTTTCCGGCAGGTTGAAACCAGTCATACACTACCCTGTTTTTATGACACAAGTGAAAACAATCAAGGTTAGCCTGCAAAGGACGGTGACTCATGCAGAGGTGTGTGTGTGTGTGTGTGTGTGTATATATATATATATATATATATATATATATATATATATATATATATATATATATATATATATAGGACACTCATATGGGGCACCATGGTGCCCGGGCACCATGGTATCTAATGCACAAAATCACTCAAATTTTTCAAAATTTTTAAATTGTGAGTATATACCTAGTTATAATAATTTGATTCATACCTATACTTATCAACAAAACAACTCAAATTTAACTTTATTTCACAATCCATGATTACATACCTAACTAATTATTTGTATGGATGCTATATACCTAGAATCAAAATCTAACAAAAACAAGTTCAAATTCAGTTCAAACTTGCTTTAAACTAGTTAGTAAAGTAGTTAATGTTAATACCTAAGTAATTGAAAAAGTTTCATACTCATTTGAATTGGGTATATACTCAATTTCAACAATGGTGCCCGGGCACCATGGAGCACCAAACAAATTTACTATATATATATATATATATATATATATATATATATATATATATATATAGTTATTAGCTTGTAGTCTTCCTCATTATTAATCTTCCCCAGCAACGGCGTTAGAAATGCTTGTTGGTATTTCTTAACGATATTACTAGAAATATTTATTCCCAGCAATGGCGCTAGAAATGGTCCTGGTATATATTTATGGTTACATATGTTTATTACTAAGCAGAATACCGATGATATATAAAGAAGAGTATTTCATTAATTCGGAAAGTATTACAAAAGAGAGTACAAGAGCTGCTAGAGCCATACCGAAGCTCTTCCGAAGACTCCGAGGGACTCTGAATACTATTCTATTTCCACTCCTCTTAGCACTATACTACTAATACTAAAGTATGAGAGGAATTGAGCTTGCTTGAGTGTGTTGAGAGAGTGAATGAGCTCCTCCTTTTATAGGGTAGTTATAACGGTTGTAGGAACACGAAAAGTCGGTTTTGCCCTTGCAACCGTCATTGAGGAGTACTCTGGAGCGTCCACATGGAGGGCCGTCATGTCTGGGCGCCGCCAGGGTTCAGCCGAACCCGCTGGCCCAGCAGGCCTCCAGCTTCGGTACAGGCACTGACAGGTGGGTCCTTTAGGCGGTTGTGGCAGTTAAGGCGGTTTCCGGACGGTTACACCTGACATGTGGGCCCTCCTTATCCTCTAGCTTGCTTAGAAGTGAAGTATTCCTGCAACATGTTATTTTCTAAGTACAAGTGGAGATAGACATTATTTGGAAATGAAATGCATTGTAAGCATAGCTAATTCTCCATTATTTTAGTTAAATTGATGGTCGAACTTTGTCGGTAACGACCGTCAAGAGCCCCCGCCTCCGCCGCCACCCTCCCGTCTCCACCCCCAACACTAACCCCTCTACCCCAAGCCCCCGCCGCCTTCCCTCCTGGCTCCGGCGGCGATGGAATTCCCTCCCGGCTCCCGACTCAGGCCGTAGCCACCGCCGGAGCCCCCGCCCCCGCGCTAACCTATTAGGATTCACTGCCCCCGCCGCCATCACCGACCCAATTGCTGGCCTGCATCGCCCGCGGCAGCGCGCCTGCCGTTGCCGCCGGTCCTGCCGGTCACCCCCGGCCCTCCCTCTAGAGCCACCAGGACAGGAACCTCCAGAAATCCTATCCCCCTAACCCGGGCGGCGAGCGTCATCGGTAACCTCCAGCGGCAGTGGCTGTGAGAGAGCATGGGTCCACATGGCAGTGAAGGAGCGGAGGGGAGGAGGTGCTTTAGCGATTCGAAGATGTGACAGCTCGCAGAGCATTTCCACGGTGGTTAGTCAGATATAGCAGGGGCAGCAACTGGCTGGGAGCGAACAGGAGTGCAAAGCAAGCTAGCGCAGCCCACGGAGACGACTCCGCGTCGGACGTCTGATATTCCACTACCTACGTATGTAGCATGCAAAAAAAAATCAGTTAGTCCAATGTTTCAGTTAACTAATGAGTGAAACACCAGGTTTTATTGGGTGAAACCAAAAAATAGCAACTGAAACATTTAAAAAGTCTATGAAACATAATGAGAATAGTCTATGAAACATAATGAAAATACACGTTGAAACATATGGCTATCACATATGAAACAACCAATGTTAATGGATTAAAACATATGTTTTTCTTTCATCAAAATTTAATCATGCGATATCTTGTTGTAAAAAATTAATTACAAAGAATACAACAGTGTGATCGGATCGTAGATTGGATAATTAGTTTAAGAGAAAAATCGTTTTGAAACTAGCTAAAATGCATGCATGCATGAGGTTGAGAGAGAGAGAGAGGAGAGAGTAGTAACCGTTAGTTTTGTGAATTTTATGAAACACGCTTAAGACACATATTGAAACATGTCCCTATCACGTATGAAACAAAATGTGTGAATGGATTGAAACATATAATTATTTTTAATCGGAATATAATCATGCGCCATCTTGTTGTAAAGATTTAATTACAACGAATACAACAGTGTGATCGGATTGTAGATTAGATAAGTAATTTAAGAGAAAATTCATTTTGAATGTCGTTAAAGGTGCATGTTATATGATTTTAGATAGAGATATAACTTTGGATAGGTATATGTATGTCAGAGGTGCCTGTCCGATTTTTCTGCTTGCTTCGAATGTTCGAGGAGAAGCATTTTCCGCAGCCCACCCCAAGCAGAGGCCCCGCTCCTCACTGGCCCACTGCCCCCGGCCGGCCCGGCCCAACGGCTAGCTGTGGCCCCGCCGTATAAATACGCCGGTCGCCGGTCGCCTCAAACCCTAGCAGCCTCGCTCTCGCCTCCCTCGTCTCCTCGACGCGATGCCGCCTTCGCCCTCTCTCAAACCCTAGCCTCCGCCTCCGCCTTTCCCTCCCCTCCCCGTCGCGGGCGCCTCCGCCGCCGCGTCCCCCGTCCCCGTCCCCATCCCCATCCTCCGTCCGCTAGCGCCGCCGCTCCGTCCTTCCCATCCAGATCGCGCCACCCCGTCCGCCCGCGCGTCGTACGCCTCCACCAGCTGCCGGTCCTCCGCCTCCCGGTCAAGATCCGGCACCGCGCCGCTTTCCTCCGTCGCCGCCATCCTCCGTCGCCTCCGCCTCCCGTTCGAGATCTGCAGCCCCTTCTCTGCACGTCGGTTTCTGCGCTGCCGCCAAGAAGGTCCTCCTCCTCCTCCTCTCTTAACACCTAGGGTTTCGGTATGGAAGTTGTTGTGTAGATAATTGGTGTTGAAATCTTGTAATTCCAGATGAGATGTATATTCTTGCAATGTTTTCTTATTTACATGTACTGGCTGCAGGTTTCAATTTTGGTAGGAACACCATCTCAAGTGCTTATTTAGCAGATATTTGCTTGTGGCGAGACAGAAATTGGCCCTGTTTGTGCAACTAATTCCTTTCTTCTGTAACCAAGGTTTGTTTTCTTTGCTACAGGCATTGCTATTCCTGTTCTTGGTTTCGGTGCAGCGGATTAGATTGGTCTGCTAACATCTGAGTGAAACAAATCTTGATCACATGTTGAAATTGTTAATCCAGCTAGGGATTGTTTATTAGTTTGCCGATTCACAGTACAAACTTGGAAAGAGCTATTGGGATTAGATTAGACATTGAATATAATGTATAAGCTTGTATCTCTTGATCATAGGATTCTCTTAAATAAGAAGTATGTGCAGAGGAACGAATATAGTTTCAAGGCTTTGTTATTCTTGCTAGTCTATCTTTGTATCAATTTTTCCACTTTCTGTTTTATTAGTCCCTATTTGTATCAAAAAGTCTTCTTTTCCACTTTCAGTTTTACTACTGACACTGAAATGATTTTTTTTAACGAATATCATGTTTTAGATTATTAGTTCTTTGTGATGATTATTATAAGAAGTTAACTGTAACTCATATTGAATTTTAGAAATTTGTAATAGAGAAAATTCTGGGCATATCATGATTTGTACTCCTACAACTTGTAATATGATAAGTTGTATATATCTTGGATTTTAAATAAACACACATATAATCTGAAACTGTGTTGGTCTAACTAGCTGCTCTTCTGTTTGAGATTAACCGAAAGCTGGTGGCCATCATTTGCAAAGCTGTTGGCTATGTGTTGATCTGAATTTAAGGATACAAGGATCTGATTTGAGTGCTAAATATACATTTTTTTCATGCCACTTAGGTAGATGGCTCATTGTGTTTTGATTTGTGGTTGTTCGTGTGGATGTATTACCTGTGAAATTCTTGATTAGAAATCTGTACTTTTTTTTAACTAACAGTTCAGTTATCTGATTGTACCAGCTTACCAGTTTTTTCTTTATTAAATTATTGCAAACTTTACAGACAGTTCGCATTTGGCAAGAGAGCGAGGGTGGAAAATATAATTGCATCCACACATTGAAAGATCATACTGCTGAGGTTAGTATTCATATGATCTCACTTCTATATTGATCTTTATTTCATTTCATTACTGGTGAACATCTGCAGCAACTGAAGAGCAAATTGCATTGAAGCTCATCTGTGTGCACCAAGCCTTGAAATAAATTTGCTATCTATTTTTTTGCTGAAAAATAGTATAGAAGTTTATAGTTGTGCACTTGTGCTAGAAGTAGGATGTTGAATTGTGATGAACTAACTGCGGCAATCTGCAGATACCTGATCAGTAGTAGGTACTAGGTAGAAGAATGTACCTTTATATCCTCCGGCTCCCATTTTGTTGCATGCATGATTCCTGGCCTATTTCAGTGTTCTAGCAAGTAGCATGACAGGGATAGGATAGGCACTTCATATGCTATTCTAAAATGTATACATCTGAACTATACGGTAGTATATTATCTTGGCAACATTTTTTGTTGTGCTGTGCTGTACAAATTCTTTCAAGTTTCCTGTGTTGTAGTCATGCCCAAGACACTTTTTGAGGCATAGCTGTTAGAGACCAAATGGAAGCTGAATTGGATTAGTCTGTCCAAATGGAAGCTGAATTGGATTAGTCTGTCTTCTACTGGTCTTTAGCTGCTATAAATCAGTAAAATTAAATAATAAATTAGTCTGTTTTCTACTTGTCTTACAGGATATTCCGCCATTCGCCACCATGGCTAACATCAGAACCGTCTCCAGCCTCGGGGAGGTCAACGGTGCCCTGCAAGAGATGGGTATCAATACGATTGATCAAGCTCATCAAGTTCAATTTCGTTTACACAAGCAAACATCCCTTAAAGAAGCAACAGAAATAAAGATGATGATCCAAACTGGAAGGCATGGATTCAGGTTGGTTAACCCTGAGCTTTTAGATTGTAAGTTTGATGCCAGGGTTAAGCTAGAGGAGTGGTACAATACCATGCTCGACGCATGCATGGCACAGTGTGATCATGAGCTGTTCTCGCTTGAAGCTAGCATTGCGGAGCTAAAGGATCTCATGCTTTCCACAGACGATCAGATTCCACATATTGGACCTGAAGTTCACCACAGGAACCGTGGAGTGCAACAAATGCTCTACCCAAACCCTCCAGTATGTTTATTTTTGTTCTTTTTTTTATGGTGAATTTCTCATTTTTTCTGAATACATTTTTTTTTCTCAGTTCCCGATCGATCCTGATTATGAGTTTGGTACTCCGCAACAACGAGTCCCATATCAAGCGGCATACACTACAGATGCAGAGAGAAATGACGCAGTTTCTCGTGACAAGCGTGCTCAGAGGGCGGTTTGGAATACTAATCTCCGTCTTCTAGAGGTGAAGAAATCCGCCCTGGAGAAGAAGAAGACTGAGCTGGAGAGACGTCTGAAGGCGGAGTTCAAGAAAGTGAATGAGCAGCAATCTGACTTGGGGGTTGGATATGCGAACTACCAGTCTCCTTACCAGGCATAAGTAAGTTGTGCTAAAACTGTGCATACAGCTTGTTGACACTGTGCAGTAGTAATTTTTTTTTTGCTTTTTTGCTGTTTATTTGGGTTCTTACTGGTGTTTATGTGTTCCAAATTCAAGCGAGTTGCCATTATTTGTATAATTTGCCTGCTGATTTAACAAGTTTCTTATATAGAGTTTAAACATTTGTATAATCACCTTGGTTTTTAGTTCTTTTTCCTTCCCCTTTGGTGGTTCCAATGGTGCAGTGTCTTTTTCCTGTGCCAATCTTTGAGTTACCAACGACTAAGACTGTCGTTTTCATGAAAACAAAGCTGTTGTAGGCTGACAGTGTACCTGGACATAATGCCCACACAGTATTGGACTGATTGTTCTGTTATCAGTAACACTATGGATTACATGTCCACCAATGACTGTACCTGCCACAAACTGCTCTATCTTGGCCCCGAACTAATGATCATGTTGCTCTTTATTTATTGTTATTGCTATCCTTTGTCTATAGTCTACGTTCGTCTCTATATGCTTCCACCTTTTGAAACTGATCAATCATTTAAATTTTCTCCATGCTCCATTCAGTAAATGTGGGCATGGTTCATGGTAGTGCAGTTCTTTTATTATAGTCAAAATGGAACATTTCTGGGATGTGAGATACTCTGTTTCGATCATTATTAGATGCCTACAACCCATGTAATTTTTTCTTTTTTCTTTACCTTTGTAGTTTCCAAGGTGCCAATTATGTTTCTTTACCTCTGGAATCTACAGTCACGAAAATGCAGCAGTGGTAGGCTGTCAATGTACTGGACCAACTATCCTGATAACATCAGGGACTGTACCTACCACCAAGCAACTAATCATGTAGTTTCTGACAGAGGATAGCATCTTTTCAGTGTTTGTAAATTTTGTATTCCTTCTGCTGTATAATTTCAAGATATAATCTGCTGTGTTATATTGAGACATGTCGACATCTTTGCTGCTTTGTGACATTTGAAATAAGATTAGTTTATATGTCACTTTCTGCATTTCTGTACGTTGCATTACCATTTCATAATGGATTACCATTGTGACACTGTTGCTATGCAACTTTCAACCATACTTTGTATCCAGAGAGGAGCATCCGTGGTGCTGAGGTTGGTCAGGTTGCACAGACGAAGATGGTGGTGGCATGCCATTGCCGGGCGCTCATGGAACCTGTGGGGCATGTGGCATGCCATTGCCGGGCGCTCATGGAACCTGTGGGGCAAACATGCCCCATCAAGCCACTAGCTAGTGTCATGCTTGCTACCCAACCATTGCAATATGGTGTTGGCTATAATTCTTCTTGTCACATCCCACAAGTTTGGATGATAAATAAAACTTGGGAAATGATGTACGAACTAAAATGAACAAGTACTTTTGCTTATAATTTTAAACTTGTATGTTTGTGCATATTGAATTGTTGTGCATGTGCATTGTAGGGACATATGCATACTTAATATAACCTAATGAGCATAAGAAAAATGGTTAAAGCAACTTAAATATCTAGGAAAAATTAATGTTAACTCCTCACTGATCATACAAACCAAAATAAAATTTATGTTAACTCCTTACTGATCATACAAACCAAAATTGAATTTTAGTTTGATTTGCTAGCTCTCTAGATGGATCAAACAACACTCTAAACTCACTAAATCCTGAATCTGGACAGATTCTCTGGAGCACACTTTAGCACCTTATAGTAACTAGCAATCGCCGCCCGAATCAATTGAAGTCCAATATGTTCAAGGAATAATATGTATCTATATTCACCTACAGCATTGGTTCATGTTTTCATCTATATCCTATAAACGACCCTTATAAAAAAAAAATGGAACACACAAAAAAATAGTGTCTAGGCTAAAGGAGGAAATCAAAAGTATAGGAAGTTTGAATAAATAGAAAAAAAAAGCAAATTACATGTCAATTACAATGAGTTTACAGAGGACCATTGGATGCTACAAACAGAAGACCATGCCAACTGGTGGTTCTATTAAATGCATGCAAAGCTAAAATGAATAGATAGAAAATGACCTTTTTTTCAAGTGTAGCATGCAGATGCCCTAGTCAACAATCCTCCGTATATGCGGTTAGTGACATCAGTACACCTTAAAAAAAAGTATACTACCTCCGTCCTAAAATATATTGCAATTTTGAGCTGTGTACCTAAACATTCCATTCAAGATATAGGGCTAGAAGTTATTACATTTTGGGACAAAGGTAGTAGAAAGTTTTAATAACGTTAGTACAGCTAAAATAGTATAGTATCAACCATTTATATATAGAGAGATAATATTTTCAGCCTGGCATCACAGTTCTAAACACATGAAACCAATTTTTCTCCCAGAAGTTCTATCTATTTTCGAAGCAGAGGTAGTACAAAGTGCTAGTACCACATGGCAAAGTTTATGAGCAAAAGCATGCATGATCACTTAACCAAAGTATGGATGCAATAACATAAGCCTTATAGTTCTACATTGCATACTTCTTCAGGTAGGTCCCATTTTTTTCTTCTCTGGCCCTTTTGTAAGTAGTTGGCAAAATATAAAATGTGGAAACAATGAGCTTTGTAGAGCACAGCAGCAGCAGGTTACACTATAGTTTGACGAAACAGATCGGCTCCACAACTTTTAGGATTTAAAAGTGTGGTTTCACAATTAATGAAAAAAACATGTGTAAAAAAGACCGGTGAACTAAACAGTGAAATAATCTCTCTCTGAGCATAGACATGTAAAAGCAAACCAACTGAAAGACAGTATATTAAAAGATTGACTAGTGATATTGCTTTACCTTTGGATCGTAACGGTTAGGACATGTCTAGGAAAACATTCCCATTGAACCAGTTGATGCACAAACTAAATTGAAATGTACCTTCAAAAGAAATTTGTGTCTGTTTCAGATATGAACAGGAAATCATCTTTCCATGATGGACCCAATCCATCCATTTCTTTTTGCGGCCTAATAAAAAAAGAAAATAGAGGCATGTCATGAAGCATGAATAAATAAAGGTCATTCTAGAGACTGATAATGTTTTCATCACTCAAAAATGGAATCATTAAGGAAAATGATTGAGTCCAAGACATATCCTAACAGCGTGTATAGTCATAATCGACTGATAACATTCCTTTGGCGCCCTTCGTGTTTTGTACAGAAATATGGCATGAAGGATTGGCTCTAATCTCTCTAAATTTTGCTAAGATATTCTATATAAAATCTAAAAGAATATGATGCTTTACTACTTAAATAAATGAGCATTCTCTTTTGTACAGAGAAATTCCTTTCACCATCTAGGCATTTATATAGTTGGAACAAAAAACCTGAGCAGAAAAAATGGTGGACAGAATGAAAGACTTCACTGAGTTAAATGCTGCTACCATATATTAGATGATCATACATGAACATTGATGTGAAGCTGAAGCATGCATGCAGTATATGCACTTCAAGCATATGCAAACAACACATCAATATCAATCGAGAAGATAAGATTACAGAATGAAAGAACTGTACAAAGGTAATGGCAAATAACCGTACAGATTTCTTTGGAGCTAACATAAATATTTATGCATGGAAATTTTAGGAAATATAGTAGATGAACAAAAATAAACCATATGGAAATTGGTGTGGAGCATACCTGTAATGAATGTGCTTCGAGCATATAGCATACATCACTGAAAATGAGGAACACAGTACAGCAGCATATGAAAAACTCTTTTGATGTACATTCAAGAGGTAAGCCATGTGTACTTGCAGCTTCCAAAACTGTCTGAATATGAAAATACACCCTGCAGCACAAATGGGAACAAATAAACCTATCAACATTATCGTTTTGCCCCCCATAGCTGTATATGCAATTCCTGACTGAATAAATAATCGTAGCATATAGAAATTTTAGTAGCAGTGTGCATTGCTTCAAGCTAAAAAAGTTTGATCACACATGACAGTGTTGAGGTACATGCAGAGGGAGTTTTTTTTCTACATAACATACACACTGTAACTAAATCAAGCCTCACACGTTAGAAGCAAATCAAAGCTGTAATCATCAAGAACTAATGTCCAATCACTATCTTCGTTCTCATGGCACTGAGGTAGAACAACAAAGGAAAAGAGAGAGAACGAACGACCAGGCAGGCAGGCAACCATCGTCGCTGAGCCACGGTTGCCTTCGTCACGGTCGTGGCCGAGCCTACGCTCTCCCTTCCCTTCTCATGGCACTGAGCGAGGTGCTCATGGAGAGGGAGAGGAGAAGAGGGTGTGGCGGCGGCCGGCTGACTCCGTCCGGCCGGCGACCGGATCCACTGGAGGGGGAGGCCAAGGCTGATGAATCAAATGGTCGGAGAGGGCGAGGGAGGCAGTGGCGTGGCAGGGATGAAAGAGGAGAAAGGGCGGCAGCGGCGGCTCTCGTTCCTCTCTAGGGTGCTGGATCCGCCGGCGAGGAGAATGGGGTCACCGGATCCGGCGGCCCTAGCCTCCTCACTGGGAGATCCGGCGGGGAGGGAGCGGCGACGGCATCACGGCGAGATGGCTAGTTGAGAGAGTGGAGGCGGTGATGGCGGCACGGCAAGATGGCTGAGGGAGTGGAGGAGGAGGGAGTTGCGGCGGCGACGACGCACGCGGGGAAGGAGGAGGGCGAGGATGCGGCGCGATGGGGGAGGAGGGTGAGGCTGCGCGCATGGGAGAGGAGAGGACGGGCGGCTAGGGTTTAGACGGGTTGGCGAAATCCACACCGTCCGTTAGAGATCGAACAATCCCACGGGTATGGAAGGGCCGCCAAAGGAGGGAACGTGGACGGCCAGATCGAGCCTATCTCAAGATCGGACGGTGGACATAGCAAGGACCGGCGCGTAATTAATCAAAAGCATGGGGTTTATTTTGCAAAAGACAGCTGAGGTGGCACGCTAATCTTCAGCCATTCCCACGGCGTTTAAGTAATATAATATTCGGTCATTAACTTTTAAGCCGAAGGGTTTGAACCAGACTTTAGATCAAACTTTCCTTTACAACTTTGCCATTGGTCTCTAGGTCAAAAACTGCCTGGAAATATTTTTAATCCGAGGCTAAAGATGGAAATACACCACAGTTCCCAGACTTCACCAAATCCTAGATCTACTCCTCTTCCTCACCTATCACACTGCCATGTGGGCCATTGAGGCTTGTGGGACCCCTTTGCTAGACTCGCAAACATCTCCACACGGGCCCACGGCCCAGGACTCGCGCGCCACGCGCGTGCGCACGCGTCGGACGCCGGGAGAGCGAGCTCCACGCCTCCATCTCCGCCGGCGACGCTTATAACCCATCTTACTCGACCAACTCTGATCCTCCTCTCGCCCTTGTCTCGTTTCGCGGAGGAACCGAGGAAACTCGCCTCGGGTTCGCCGGGAACGGAGGCGTCAACCTCGACGCCGGCGAGAGAAGCCGACGACGCATTTGCTAACCTGTGAGCACCATTCCCGTCCAATGTGCGTTCCATTGTCTACTCTCTATACCCTTTCTAACGCCACAAAGATTGATCCATTTGGTGCAGCCGATCGCCGAGAACGCGACCGCGTCAACTCGGTGTGTCGCCACGCCCTGAACGCCGCCGCATCATCTTCACAACGTCGCCCGCCATCCACAGTCCACCATCGGTCGAGCCGCCTCGCCATCGTCTTCGCCAACGCCCAAGGACCAGGATACCCGAAGGAATCGAGCCACATTGGATCTCAGGAGGAGAATGCCATCTTCTTCCCCGATTCCGGCCGCCGTCGCCATTTCTCTCTCTCTCACTCTCTGGTGAGCTTCGGCGCATCCTTTTTCACCTAAAGCTACTTCGTGCCAATGTGAATCGATGCATGCCCCTTTTCTTAGCAGATCAAGGCCGGAGAACGCCGTCGACGACGACCGCTGCCGAAGCCGCTCTCCATCGCCAAGACCTCGCCAAGCCAGAGCAGCCGCTCGGTGAGCACCCTAGAGACCCTTAAAGCCCCCTGCGACAACATGCAAGTGTAGATCGGGACTCTAAAGTGACATGCATGTGTAGGCCGAAGGCATCCACCGCCTCTAACACCCTAACAGCCACTGTAGTGCATCATAGATTGCAAGAAGGCCACCGATAGAATCGCAACGATGTCCTCGACATTTTTCTTTTTGGGAGCAAGGGCTGCTTTGCCGCCGTTCGCCGCCGGCGAAGCCGGGAAGCTCGCGGCCGAGCCGGTGCTCTGCTCTGTTTAGAGCAGGGGCTAGTTTTAGCAAGAGTTTAAAAAGTGCAAGGGTGTATTAGCAAGAACGCAAACACTGACATATGGGACCATGGAATGATTAGTAAATAACATAAAATTGAAGGTTTCTTTTGAAAGAAAACATACAACACTTGTTTGGACTGCGGGATCTATTTCCCGGAATTCCAGAGTTCTTAGCGCAAATTACCAGTCAATGACAGGTGGGACCGAGGAAGAAAATGATTTGAAAAGAAATAGGGGAAGTGAAAAACTGATTTCAGTGCAACTATAAAATGCTGAAACTTTGGAAATTCATAGTTAAATTCATTCTAACTCCAAAAATTGCAAACTAAAATTTGTTAGATTCACATTTTCTTTCACAGCACTGTAAAAATGTCAAACTTAACAGAAACATGAAAGTTTATACCATTAAAAATTCGAGACACATATAGGCTTTAATTAAGCAGAACGACACTTCGAAAATTCATAACATTCAAATAAAAATTGGTAAAATGGAGATTCTTTTACTAAATGTCAATTCAACACAGAACACATTTCTATACTATATCTATATCTATACTAATCTAAAAGGAGGAGTTCACCCCTAACAATCATACATGCTAAATCATTCCATCTCATCTCATCCGTCCATCCGCCATCTCATCTAATCATTAGATCTTTTTCTTTTCATCCCACGGCTCCAAATGATCCTACGATGAACTCACCTAATCCCTGGTGAGCGGAAGCACTCCATCGCACTATCCCCACCACCGCGAAATCTGCGCCGCGGTAATCCCCGCCCTGGACGCTGAACGCGGAACGCCTCCTCGCATGGGGCTGCACAGAATCCTCCCGCCGGCCACCGCGCAAACACCACAGCTGCATCGCCAACCACTATTTCCTCCCCCAAATCGTGTCCCTGGCTTCACACCGCGCCCACACATTCCGCCATCGCCATTTCCTCCGTCCTAGGGCGAAGGAGAGCTCGCGACTCGCGGGAGGCGTCCTCCGCTCCACTACGCCCCGGTTGCCGCCACCTCCGCGTTACTAGGGGTGAGTAACTCACCGAAGTTCTCCCTAAGCATTGGAGGGCCTGCAACCAACGTCGACGCCCTGTCCACATGGCCACAACGCCGCAGCCAGACTGACCAATCAAGCATCCCCTGGGCCGTTGCCATCGCAGGTCGAGCAGTCATGCACCACCGCTGCCTCCGCGAGAAGATCAGGTGATTTTTCTCACTGCTACTGAAACTGAATATTTTATTTGTAAACAATAAAGTGATAAATTGTTCGTCATGCTAATTTGGAATGCTAGCTCCCTTTCCATTGGTCCTTCTGTCGATATTGAAGTGTTGTCGATTTATGAGGAGATGTGACATTGTATATAGATTGTTGTCCATTAGTTTTGTTGATTTAGAAGTTGGATCTGGCTGCAGGAGTGCATGAGAATTGCTATGGTCCTTGGGTGGGTCATCATGGTGGTAAACACATATAGATTGATTCTTCTTTTCCCTTTCTTTATGCAGTAATTGCTAATTTTGTCTTGAAGCTTTTGGTGTGCTGGGACCCGTGAATGACTATATTTTCTTTTAACATTCTAAAGCAGGTAAAGTTAACTTTTATCTCTCTGTCAAATCATGTCATTAACAATTTATTTGTTTTATCTCAACCCCTTTTGTAGATGTATGACAATGAGAAAAGTTTTAATTTGACGCATAGTCAATGAGTTGGACTTTTTTTCTATTCTAAATTGATTGGAAAACTCAACATATTACAATTTTACGTCAATGGGGAAAACATGGATTGTTAATTTTGTTGATATGTGTAGGCTCAAGAGTGCTATGAGATCACTATGGAGTATTAAGGGAGTCATGAGCTTGATGAACTTGGTAATATGTTGACAAGCTGAGAGAATGACGGCTCCACTGTGATGGCCAAAGCTTTCTCCCCTGTGCTTAATTTGGCTAACTTGGCTGAGGAGGTCCAGATTGCATACTGGAGGAGAATAAATCTCAAGAAAGGTGACTATGCTGATGAGAACTCCGCACCGACAGAATCTTGAGATTGAAGAAACATTTAGGCCTTATTCGTTTTGAAGGATTCCTAAAGGAAATCTCAATTCCTTTGGAATAAGCACTATTCATGCATTCGGTTTGTAGGATTCAAAAGAAAATTTTCCATAGGAACACTATGCCAATCCTCCAAAAATCCTCCAAAATGTACTAATTCTATAGGAATGAAAACATCCACTCTATCCTCTTTTATTTAGCTCAGTGTAGGAAAAATTCCTGTGTTCCAATCCTTTGTTTCGCACGTGCATTCCTATATTATTCCTACGTTTTTCCTATTCCTGTGATTTGAAAATCCTGTGAACCGAATAAGCCCTTAAGAGGTTTGCTGTTGACCTGAAGAAATCACCAGTAGAGGTCTTTGATGCCCTTAATTGTTAATCCTGTTGACCTGTTTTTGGCTGCAAATCCAACATATATATTCAGTGAGATGGTCCCTGCTTGAAAAACACTCAATGTGTGTTAAAAACAACTTTGATATCAAACATCCTATGATTTCTTATTGGAGAATTGTTCAGTTTGATGGCTTTCATAGCAGCTGAGGAGATGAGCCCAACGGCGAAGCTTGGGGACACCATGTTGCAGCTTGTGCAGCCCCATAGTGGACCAAAAGCGGGCGGACATCAACGCCGCCTTTCTCTGCACGATCATGTGGTGGAAACCACAACTTGGGGAAAAACTCAGAAATTACTTCAGCACCGGCGTCCCGTGACCCTCTCTACAGCACGCCACTGCCTGAGATCAAGCCGCCCCTGTGATCCAAAGAATGAGAGGAGAGAGAGGAAGTTGGGCGGAAGGACTCCAACAGTGACATGTCATGCTATTGCTATGGTTGCTTACCTGTTTACCTAAGATGTTTAATCAAATGTTTCTTGGTTCTCCCTCCTTGCTGTTGCCAACATTGCCTCAGATTGACAAAGCATTTAACTAGGTGAGTAAATCAGTTAACTAATAGAATCTTCCGCCAACAAATTCATTTATGCTAATTCATTGCTTTGTCAATGTTGGTACTGAACTTTATTTCTGGTAGTGGAGATGTGATAGGTCTCTCTCTCTCTCTCTCTCTCTCTCAGTTCACGAATTGCCTTGGTTTCTTCTGCTTACTAAAATGGTTGTCTTCTATGGCACATGTTGAGGACAGCTGACCCAGAGGGTCTGTAAGAAAATTTATGCAAAACAAACAGAATGAATCAGGTATAATCCTAATCAACTTAGCTCATGTGCTTTGTGATGCAAAATTTGTTTTTCCTATGGGTAAAAACAAGAATTGTTCACATGACATTACCAATACTATTCTCTTGTCTATATTTAAGAGATAGATATGTTGAGATGAATATGTTGTTTGCAAAGGGCATCTAACCACCTTGCTATCTGAATTTTGATTAGGTCCGTTCTCATGTCCCGTGCTAAATAATAAGAGACTGTCTTTGAAATTTTGCAGATCCCATGTTCTTTGATTGAAACAGAATAATTTATGTTCCATTCATTCCTCTAAGGGTGATTAATTGACTTAATGATTGTTTACTTTGACTCATACAACTTTCACAAAATTTAGGCATATATTGGATTCTTCAAGTCATGACAATATGTAAAAGTGTAGAGGGAACATTACTAATGTTGCCCTACTAATTATGGATCTCTTTCATTGTTTCATGGTTGATGTGACACTATTGTGCTGAGGTATGACATTTTTATCCTTGCTTTGTTGGGTTATTTCTTCATATTATTCAATTCCCAGATGATGTATGGGAGTGGATATCTATGAAGTCAGAAATGACAAGAGATAAATGAGGAGCAATGATGCTTGAAGAAGCAATCCATTTTAAGGCTTATGCATCCATTATGTTCTATTTTAGTCCCTTCTTTTTGTGTATGATTGACTACAATGTAAGGAGAATATCACATAATGTAAAGTAGAAGGTAACTGTAGAAGTATGAGGATATCTATATATGTGTATGAAAAAAGCAACTTCGAAATTTGGCGTGTCCATGTTTAAAGGTCTCACCTGAAAAATGAATTTATGGTTGATGTATTCATGTCATGCTCCAAAGATCATATTGCTTGTAATTATTTTCATTGTAGTGTAGAATTTTTCTATGGTTGTATAGGTAAAAATGACTCGCTATGTGAATAAACGTGAAATTTATAGGAAATTTTGGGATATGTTCATTCTGTACGCGCAATATAATTTAAGTATTGACAATTTTCTCCAGTAAAATGTATATGCATGTTTCTTTCTTTTTACACCGTGCGTTGCACGTGCACAATTACTAGTAGTCTAAAAAAGCATTCATTTTAGAGCATGTTGGATTTTTATGTATGTTTTTTATTTTGACTTTTGCATATGTATGATTAGACAAACCGCCGCCGAACTACGAGGAGGTCTACTACACGGCAGCTGAGCAAGAAGAAGGGGAGCAAGGCAAGCCCCCACCTCCCACCTTTGAACACATTGAACCTATGATTTGAAGGTTTTTGAAAAGAATTGCAAAATGTGCATGTCGATTTTATATAAACTACTAAAATTTGATAAAGCTTGTTAGACTAACACCTAAAATTGCATTACCTCTAGAACTCCACACAAGACCTTGACCCTTTATACCAAGCCTTAGAAATAACTCCTATTATCACATTAAGTATGATGATTGAAGTCACTAGACTATGGGAATGCTTAGCTATGCTTAGGGTAATGTTTGCTTGTCTTATGGGTTAATTTATATGCATAAATTGAATTTATTTATGATCTGGACAGAAAAGAAATTATGAGTTATTTGCCAAATAAAATAATGGAAAATGTGAATTTTAGGTTTTGGCCACAAGTGGTGCTCATATTTGAACTTAGATGTGCACCGATAGGGGGAGTGTGGGCCTAGACCGACCTAAGGACTTCACTCATTATATGTTCATTTCGTATACAGTGCAACCACATGAGCTAGTATGGGATAGCCTAAGTTTAGTATATTATTTATGGTTTAGCCTTACATTTTGGTAGGCTGGTGTGTATGGGTTATGTGTTAGCTCATCGGAACTTACTATTTATCGATGAGGTAGTTTAGGTGACTTAGTCTGTCCAATACAACGGTATGTTCCCGTCGTGTCCGCCACCACGGCGTTAAGTTTAAGGCATGGGCCCGCCACTTAACGGTTCTAGGTCATATGTTCCAGTATGCCCTAGGATGGAGGAACACGTATTGTGCTGGTGTAAAGCTAAATCATAAATCTTGGAAGGGCTTTGTTGTGAGTAATAAATCGGATACTTATGTATCGCGTACCATGCTTTGCATGATTATTATTTCGCATCATGTGGGAAAAGTGTACGTACTCTACAGAGTTAAAACTAATCGATTAGCCGTGCTCGCGGTTATTGAGCGGCGTGTGAATGTGTCATGAGTATAGACTTGTGTTTTAAATTTTCTAAATGATGAATTTAAACTTCAAAATGTGATATGAATTGTGCTTTAACTCCTTGTTACTATGGATGGTAATAAGGAGCTATGTTATAAGTGTTTTACATCTATTATAATCCCCATTTGATAGGTGTATGCTTGCTGAAATTTAAATGAAAATAATCAGGATTTATGAAATAATTTTTGCAACTAAAATTTGCTTTATGCCAAAACTAGCCAAGTACCTTACTTTAAATATGCCTTACATGTAGAGTCTTAGGTTTGATAGGTGCTTGCCCGTACAATTTATTTTGTACTGACTATTGCTTGTATTGTTGTTTGTTGCATATTTAGAGATGGTTGCAGGTGAAGTCATTCCTGTGGAGGATGAATTCGTTGGGGATGATTCTGTTGGGTAGAAGATGCTTCCGTGAACCCTAACTATTTGGCCGGTCGGCCATATGTAACTAAGTGCTATGTTATATGTTTATCTCTAAGACTTGGAACTAGAACTTCCTTTTAATTTAGAGATATCATGTGCTTGGATGGAAATGTTTAGTATGTTCCTTTTATTAGGATCATATTAAGCATGAGTAAGAGTTAAGGATGTCTGAGACAATGTAGATCTTTAGCCATTTTGTGTCAAGTCTCCTGTATGTGTAACACATCTGGTCGCCACCTTCGAGTGGTTTGACGGGCACAACTCAGGCTGAAGTTGACTGACAGCTAAAAGCCCAGCAAGGTTTCACATATCCTTCTCTCGGAGCGTCGAATGACTTAATACGTTTGATGGAGGGAATTAGTGGTTTATTCTTCCTTCAAATGTAATGAGTTCATTCGAAGTGTTTCCGGACACTTGTTTATCATGCTATTTTTGTGAGATTAGTGGTAGCCACATCGAATTGCAGGCTTATATATGCATGGTTCTCTTTTTATTTTGCCGATGGCCTTATTGCAATCTCTTCCCCCATGGGATTGATATCCATCCCCCCCCCCCCTGTAATACTTTGGTTTCTGTTCAACCTGAGGCTAACACAAATCTTTCATCTAAAATAGTATTTGGTTGCATGTTGAGCCCAATACTAAACCCTACTATAAATCGTGTTCACACTTGGATGCTTCTCGAGATGGTGTCCATCGGTAGTCCTAGGGCTGGATCATCTTGGTGTATGCGAGGACAGGCGGTAAACAAAGCTCATCTTTGTTATGTGTGGAGGGTGGCTTCTTGTTCCCTTAGAGCGACTTTGCCTTGACATGGCATGGAATAGGAACACCTCTGACCTGTGTCTTGTGGTAGTCTCGCGGATGCCACATATATGCAAATGGATTTTATTTTTATTTTTTTTTGCGGGGGATGGATTTTATTAGGTGTAGTAGTAGTCCTCGCCCCGCTATGTTTGTCTTGACGGACATGGTATATATACTCAAGTATGCTCTCTCTCTCTCTCTCTCTCTATATATATATATATATATATATAGCAATAGAAACTTCAGTATACCTAGGTGTTACTGGCAAGTAGCGAGGTCTTGGTGTAGCATGAAAATCAACATCGTGAAGCAGCAGGATGATCTTAGTCATACTGTGATAATTTTTTGCATTGCTTGTCATGGAGCATGGAGCTACTTGTGGGCTAATATATTCCCTTTTGTAATGCAAAAGAAAAAAAAACAAAGATCTAGAGTTGAGTGTGATTTCCTAAGTAATATCACTAATCGGCTTCTGAGATACGAAACTACAAAAATTGTAATAATAATACACATGGTAGGATAATTACTTCAGATTATTCCATACATATATGGTTCATTAGCTCAATTGTAAAACGTGCATGTATGGGGCCGTTTAGTATAGCTCAAGTTCCCAGCTCCAACTTAGCATCTGTTTAGTAGAGCTCTAGCTCCTAAATTTAGCTTCAGGAGTTGGGTCTGGAGTGGAGTTGTGGAGCTGCCTAAACCTAGCT